AATATTAGCCCAGGAGATAAAATTTATGCAACTGAAAATTAAAAAAATTTAAACAAAAGAATTCCATGAATAAGTTGGAAAACAATGCCCCACTGTGCCTTACAACAAACACATTATATGTGTACGCCAAGAAGTCCCACAATAAAGAAATTTGTTTCACACACACAGTATTCTCCAAACTTACTTTCTCCCAAAATTCTTATTAGCATCCTACCAGTGTAATGAACAATGATTTGTGAAAATACCATATATCTAACGAGAAAATACTTACAGAGCCATTAGTGCTAGGTTAAGATATGGTCATGAGGAATGCTTTCAGCCTAGAAGGGTGTGTGTACATCAACTTGAATCTGGGTTAGTACAATGTAGGCATGAAAGGCTTAACAGTAATGTTACATGAATGTTCTAGACTCTACTGCATGTACAAATAACTTCTAAAGAAGAAAGTGTGCTACCTGAAACTTTTGGTCCTTTACAGTCCACATGCAAGCATCATGTTTCAGAGAAAGACATTCGAAAAAGTCTAAAAGTATGAAAAAATATTTACCTAAAAATATTCTTTTAAAATTGCACAATTTCCCTAAAAGAACAGCATTTGTCAAAAATCACTATTAATTCCAAACTTCATCGTTAAGACTTCCTTTTTAAAGAGTAACTAACTACTTGATTATAGAAGCACTTTGCCCATTCAGAAATCACATGTTAACCATAAAATGACCAAGAAAAGCAGATGACTCTTAGAAACATAACAAAGTCCTTTCGTTCCCATATACTGCTTATAGGAAGACATTTAAGAGTGCTGCTCTGTATTAATTACTAATTTATTGTAGATATATATGAATTTCTAGCATGCTTGGTGGACTAATTTCCCATTTGGGGAGCAAGGAACACTTAATGTAAACCTAATGGTAATCCTAACAAAAATTCGTAAAAGTCTTGGAGTTTGGGAGATTATTCAAATCACTTAGAACTTATTGTCACCTGGGTAGAGAGAGTAGCAAGAATAATTTTCAAGATGAGTCATGGGGATAATCAAGACTAAACATATTGAGTAGTACTGACAAACACTGTAACTGCAGCATCCAAAAAGTAACCCTAATCACATACATTTCAAATGTGACTAGATCAGACTGAGACATGCTGTAACTGTAAAATACATATTGGATTTAAAAGATCTGCTACAAAAAAGTAAAATATCCCATTAGTAATAATTACATTTTTATTTCATGTTGAAATAATATTTTATATAGATTATTATTAATTAAAAATAATTTTACCTATTTCTTTTTTACATTCTAGTTCTGTGAAATGGCATGCAGCCAGAGAGGCTCGATGACATGATGCATTCAGAAACTGTAAGCAGACCAGAATAGCTTAGGTGTTTTTTTTTGCAGTGCTAGTGATAAATTTCAGGGCCTTTTATATGCTAGGTAAGTTCTCTACTCCTGAGTTGTATCGCCAGTCCTGGATGTGGCATTCTTATGTGCTTAGATTTCCTGTACTAAAAGAGAACTACTGAAGAGTTGTAAGCAAGAAAGTTTGCTGGAAGAGATGTACTCTTTAAAAAGATTACTCTGGAAAGATAGAAGATGAAATACGAGAGAGAGAGAGAACACTAAAAAACAAACAACAAGCATTCCAAGATCTAAGAAGCAGTCTGGAGCCTGCTTTACGGAGAATCTAAAATCTTTCACAAACCCTGTACAATCTTAGTAGAATTGGATCTATGTATGTATGTATGTACGTATGTATGTATGTATGTATATATGTATCTATCTATCTATCTGGAGGTCATAGCACTGTGCCTAAGGCTCATATGAAATTATAGGGGAAATATAGAACATTTATTTTCTAAAATGGGGGAGGGCAATGTTGTTAAATGATTTAATTACTAGTAAGAGTTTTTCAAGTCTACAACATGTTTCTCCTCATTTTGTTTTATTATTATTATTTTATTTTGTTGGCAGTACTAGGAATTAAACTCAAGGACTCTGCCACTTGAGCCATGACCCCAGGCCTTTATGTCTTTTAGTTTCTTTTTTTTTCCAGATAGGATCTCATGCTTTTACCTGGGGCTGGCCTCAAACCGTGATCCTCATCCCCATCTCTGCTTCCCAAGAAGCTGAGATTACTGGTGCATTTTATGATTTTGAAGCTATAGAGAAGCTTTTAATCAATATTCACAGCTAATGTTTATTAAAAGGGAATGCAGACAGGCTTGTTGAAAAAAGAGGAAATCAGTATAAAAATGCTTGTCAAGTTTGAGAAGAAGTAAGGATACCATTGTGGCTGGAGTGAATGATGGGGAGTATAATAGGAGATAAGGGGGAGAGAAAGGTATCATACTGTCTTCTAGGTCATGGTGAAGACCCTGAGCTTTATTCTAAAGAGAAGTCTGTTAAGAACGGAGCAACTGACTGTATCAAATACTGTGGATCAGGAAAAGTAAGGGCCAAAAAAAGACTTGACGATTTAGCAGTACATAAATCCTCTAATGGTCAGTGACTAGGAGTGCCTGAAGGAAAATAAAAGTCATAGTAATAATACCTTCTCTATCCAGTAAACAATTACCTCAATCAAGCAACCCTACCAGACCTGGACTGTAAGCCCCCAATGAAAAATCACAGGAGGATTTTTTTTTCAAAGAAGAAAAAAAAAACTAAAAGAAGAATTTACACTTGAAGAAAGAGCTACTAAAAAGTAAGAAAAAGAATAGCATCCTTATGGATGAAAACAAGTAATGAAACAAAGGTAATTCTGAAAAAGCATCAGGTAAAAGACTATAATGGCTACATTTATAAATTTAAAAGATAACTAGAATTGGTTACAAATGGAGAATGAATTAGTGAGTCAAAAAATCAAACTGAGCTGGGCACCGATGGCTCATGCCTGTAATCCCAGTTACTCAAGAGGCAGAGATCAGGAGGATTGTGGGCTGGTGGAGTGGCTTAAAATATAGGCCCTAAATTCAACCCCAGTGCCAAAAAAAAAAAAAAAATAGAAAATCAAACTAAAACAAATTCTTAGGGACACTGTAGCAAACCCAGACTTCAAACATGTGGAGAGAAAAGAGAAAATGGGGAGGCCCAATTCTGAAAAAACATTTTCACAACTGAAAACAAAGGAGAACCTTCAGTTTGAGAGAGCACTCCAAGTATCAAGAAGGGGAAACAAAACAAATGGCATCAAAGATACAACTAACCACTAACAAGAAGAGAAAACAGATTACTTAAAGGAACAAAAATTACAGGAAGTTCAGACTTCTCATCAGCAATGCTGGATGCCCGGAATACTTTTTCAAAGGGTAAAGGGAAAAGATTCTGGACTCACTATTTTATACCAAACTAAACAATTACTTTAAGGGTGAATTAAAATAAGGCATTTTGAACATTAAAAAAAGAAAAACAAAACAAACTTAAGATTCATACCTCCACAGAACCTTGCAGACAGAATACATATTTTAGCAAGAAGGTAAATGAATTCAGAAGCAATGAAATACAAGTAGTAGTGTGGGCAAAAAAAAAAAAGATTCATTAAATAAAAATAAAAATAGTAAAAGACCAAAAGAGCAAGTATGAAAAATTAATAACAAGTTTTAATGTGTTTAAGAGTTAAATTCAATCAATAGTAACACAAGAGATGGGGAGATGGGAAGACATGTACTCTTATAAATACTTAATTTACACAGTAAAGCAACCAATTGGAGAAGTCTACTCATATTTTCTGGCATTTAATGAAAGCTTAGAATATAGTCTTTAAAATCTTCTTTGACTACCTTGGTTCAAAAGTTGATTATCAGTACCTCCAAAGGCTATTTTTGTTAGTAATCCTAAAAAACAACCCCTATATATCATTCTTAATTTTCCTTAAAGTTTTACCTGTTCTCATCCATTTCCTTCCACATACAGTTTTAAACCTGAGTAAAACTACTATCAAGCATCAGCAATGCTTGGACCCCACAGGTGGCATTTGTATTGAAGAGGCCACGCTGTGTATGTGGGCAGATAATAGCACAAACAAAATGTGAACCTAGGTTGCTTTTCATCTCTTTTTGTTACAATCAGCTGTTTGCCAACTGGACAGCACATTTAAATGCCCTTCCACGAGATGCCTTTAGAAAGATATTGAATAAGCTAGGCCAAATAAAACAGTACACCATGATGCTGTCATAGAATTTCTCCCTTAGTCACCATCAACAGAGAAGCCTTTAAACAAAGACAAGATTTCAGACTTTCCAAAGAAGTGCTTCTAGAGTGCCTGTCTCCATCAAGATATCCATAAAGAAATCTTTACACATTCACAGTTACAATGTATTTTCTAAAATATTCAGTTTTGTAAAACAAAACTAAAAATTAAGACTTCTCCATTTTTTTGTTCTGAAATTAATACACAATGCAGTAAAGATAACTCATGGCATCATGCTATAGATGTTATAGCCACTAAGAACAAAAAAAGTCTTGAATCAGAGTGTGTATTTACCAACAACCTAGCATTTTGCTACTGTGAGAGTATTTGTTTTAAAATGACAAGTGGTTTATCTGTTACTACTTTAAAAATACTTTGATACACTAATTAAATATTTTTATATAATTACTTTTCATAAGTTATTTTCTTCATATGATTTCACTAAGAATCATCACCCAGATTTCATATAATAGTACAATTCAACCATAACTTATCTAGTAGCACCATATTAGTAAATGTTTTATATGATGAAATGGCCTTAACCAAGCAATGATTCAGTCTAAAGGGAGTTCGCCACAAATGCACTGTTTTAAGTCAACAGAGTATTAAAAAGGCACTTTTCAAATCATCTTAAAGGTTGTACTGAAATGTTTTACAGATTTCTTTGAATTAAAAACAAAATTGCAATGAGATTGAGCTTTTTAGACTGCATTACAGTTCTTAGAAATAACAGCACAATAAAGCTCATTTATAATTCAAAATAGAATTTAACAACTGAATTATATCAATTACAAAGAAAATAATAAATTACTTACTTTAGAGGCCCATGGCTGAAGACAATTGGCATAACAGCGAACAAGAAAAGCCATTTCTGAAGCTGGTAAGGGTAGTTTCTTTTTCAAACCACAGCCACACTGATGAGTATGTTGATAATATTATAGTAAGTTTCTTTTTACAAACTATATACCATTGTGTCTTATAAAGGCAGCCTTTTCCAAACCTCTTTACAAACTGAAATCAGGAGCTTTCAGAAGCTTAAGAGTATTGTTCTAAATAACTGAAACAATTCTCATGAAAATGTTTACTTTGTACAAGCAAATAAAGATGTTTAGATTTCTGGCTTAGAACACTCATTTACATGCTTCCTCAGGCACCTGGCACAGACGTGCACTGTGCACCACAGTCAATACTATCAGTCAAAGCAAATAAGGCAAATTTGTCTTGGATTCTGCGAAATCTTTCTTCTCTGTAGTATAGCTTTGTTTTTCCTTCAAGTTATCTTATTCTGTAGAACAAGCACTGCAGCGATTCTTCTGCATCAGAGGCAAACCAGAATACTGTATCCTGAAGATCAAAGTTTCCTCTATATATATTCTTAACCACTAGAGGTTTTTTAAAAAACAACCAACCATTGAGCAAATGTCCGAAGATATATGCTCCAACAGGTTTGTCCTGCAGAATGCCTGAGAATCTCCAAAAATTCAAATGATTTTTTCTTTTTGCATGCAGGTTTTCTAGCTCTGCAGTCCTGCTTCTTGTTCTAGTGCATCAGTAAGACAGCACTGTTGATCTACGTCTGGCCTTCTGGTTAATAATGTATATATGATACGACACAAAAACACTACCCCTTTTGCTAAAGCAAGATTATGTTAGTGTCTTGATTCCTACTGTCCTTGTCTGTTTCACAGCAGCTCCCTAAGGAGACGCTCCTATTGATTCTATGCTCTGCAGTAGGATGAAATATCTAATAAGAAGGAAAGGGAGTGGGAGGAGAATAGAGCTAAAAGGATGACATCACCTGTAGAGAAAGCCTTCAGAAACTGCATTAGATCAATTGGCTACTGTATCTGCAGATGTAGTCCAAAGAGCAATTTAATGAAAACACACACATACACCCTTCTGTGAGAACACTGGAAAACTAAATTCTGTAAGAAAAAACTTGACTTAAGCACCCTTTCTATTTCACAGTTTTAAAAATCCATTTTGATTTTTAATTCTGTGTACTGATATATAGCTATAAAAGAGAAGCCATATTTTCTAATATTATTATTCAAATTTAACACAGCACTGTTCTCCCAAGCGAAAATAATTAGCTCTGGTAGATACTTTTGCATTCCGAACACCTAAGCCAGTCTAGCTCTCAAATGTTACGTATGTATTTGTAATGCTAATCCAGGGGTTTTCTGTATATAAAACTTCTATTTATCAAATAACTTCTGAAAGGTATAACCTCTATGACCACTCTAAACTGATGTTAAAAATACAAAAGAAAGGCATTAAGATTTATAATTTATATGTAAGTAGTAAATTTAAATGAAAATAACAGAATCTCATTTTTCAAGTGGAAGCTGCAAAAACCACAGGCATAACACCAGTTGCAGCATGCACCAACTCCTTGAGGAATAAATCTATACAATATGGTACTTCCCTATAGCCCTGTGCTCAATTCCTAGAAAGAGACAAGCGAGCAAAACTCAAAAAGTATCAGAGAGGAAAAAAAAAGACAAAACCTGCTTCCAACATGAGCTGGAATTAAAAGGAAACTGCCCAATTTTTCTTTAAAAATCATGAGAAAAAAATGTGATTTTGCCATACCCTGTCCCACATGCAAACCCACAATTCCCTCCAGTACCCACCCTTGTTCCTTATACTTCTATGAGACACCTCACTGCAGATATCCCACGTAAGCATTTGAGTGTATAATAGGGCCTCAATGGCCAAAGACATAGTTCCCAATGATAAACTACAGCTAATTAACATACCTTCAGATAGCAAATTATGAGAGTAACAATCAGTAAACTAAAGCAATGGAACTTTTTAAAAATTTGCCTAATAAACAGAGGCATGCAGCACAAAGAGACAGGTATTATAACAGAGAACTTCACTTTTTATAGAAGAAACATCTTCCGTTACGCACATACACAAAAAATGAGCTCAACACCCTAGTCTGAGCCACTTTCAGAACACAATAATGCCAATCTTAATTATGTTGCTATGTATACAACTAGAACTGAACTAAGTGAAAAACTATTATTCTGAACAAAGACAAGTCATGCTTTCAAAATACGTTACATTTATGAATTTAGGCTTCCACAGAACCTAAGAATTATGTCTTTTATGCAAAAATCTCAAAAGAAAAAATTTATAGTTAAATATAAAATTTAATCTCATAAATGCAAATAAATATGACTAGTTTTATATAGGCTAAATTTTAAGCCCTAAAGTATCTTTTCTTATTTAATTCAAATAAACTGTGAGTTGGAATTACAAAAATACTAAGCACGCATATATAAATTAACTAAAATCTATATATTTTTTTAAAATAGAAAAATTTTAGGTACTTTGTATGCAGATGAAGAGAAGCTTGTTGCTAAAGATAAATTTCCAAAGATAAGCATTTTGAACATAAAAATTAGAAACAGGACTCAAGAATATTTTAGTTTCAATGCCAGACAATAATTATATTGATGTATGGTATCAGCAGGGTAAATTACAGCCAAATCAAAAAGCAAAATCCTAATGGGCACCTTTCCCTCTTTTCATAAATCATGCTGATGCCACACAAAGGAGGCCCTCAAGCTGAGCAAGGGAGGCAGCCATCTCTTAGCTGCTTTAAAAAAACTGCAGCCCAGTGAGTGAAATGCAATCCACTAATGCCATATGTTGGACCTACTGTACCACACACCAACTCAATAAAGGAACAAAACTCCTTTTTCCTTTAGTTTGGCTTGCAAGTGAAGATGACATCATTCTTTTCCTACCAATCACCCCATAGTATTTGCTATTCTAGAAAATCATACAGTTAACCTATCATGCAAAATCTCCCTGTGCAACAATAAAAGAAAAATAATTGTTTTATTTGCACTCAGCATGTGAATCCATCAACATTCTGAAGGTACTATACTACATTGTTTCTTCAGAAATAATGATGTATCCATTTAATTAATCACTCTTCAATGACTAACCACCCTTTAAACAAAATACTAAAATACACAATGAAGTGAATCAACTACTTGTCACTTGCATCACATTGAAAATTTTACCAATGATCTCATCTCAGAGTGACTTTACTGATTCAAATGAAGTAACTGCAGAAAGGATGTCCTGATGTGCACTTTGTCTACAATCACCAGTACAGGATAGACATCTAAGAAGACAATTCTCTTTCACATGAAATACCATGATGCTAAGCCATACTGATGAAATCTTTTTAGTTTTAGAAGAGTCTTGTGGCAGCTGGATGCAGTGGTTCATGCCATAAGACTAGTTACTTGGGAGGTGAAGATCAGGAGGATTGTGGTTCAAGGCTAGCCTGGGCAAAAAGTTTGCAAGACCCCATTCTCAACTAATAGAAGTTGATGTGGTGGTGTGTGTCTGTCGTTCCAGCTACAGAGCATGTGTAAATAGGAGGGCCGTGGACCATACATAAACACAAGATTCTAGTTAAAAAAGCATAAAGAGTTTGGGGGTATGGCTCAAGGGGTATAGTGCCTGCCTAGAAAGCACAAGGCCGTAAGTTCAAACCCTAGTACCACCAGAAAAAGAAAAAAAGTTTTTTGGACTACTGTAAAATAAAACAGTGATTCTGCAAAGTTTCAAACCATTACAAAATATTTTTTACAAAAATATAAATGTTATATGCACTTATTAAATTGATGTTCACTGTTTAAACTATAGACAAAATACAAATTGGAATATTTGACATCACACTAGAAAAAACTAAAGATATGGTTCTGATAGTTACTAAACTAACTATAAATACACCTTTTATTTCAATTCGTAACAATTCTGAAAAGAAGGGGGGAGGAGCTTACCATAGATAGAGGAAAGCTATCAGAAGATATGCTATTAGGCAATATGAAAAACAAAAAACCCAACAATAACAAAAAACAAATTTATATTGATCTTAGGCATAATCATACAATTCCCATTTGCAAAGTCACAATTTAGAGAAAGCAAACTCAAAAGGAGAGAAACAGTAAAAACTCATTTCTGCATTTTAAATGTTAAGTACTTGGTTTTTAAAACATAAACCATTAAATATACTGATTTACACAGCAAAAACACTTTAATGCACTTGAAAATAAATGACTAAATGATGCTTATTGCAATGGTCAGAGGTAACATACAAGCCAAGCCCTTGCGAAGGAACACTGAAAGCTTTTCCACCTTCCTTGCCTCCCATGCTTAATGTAAACATCTGAAGTGAATCTCTGTAGTTATCAGACATGGTTAACTCTAATTACAGGTGCCCCTCAGGAATTCCTGCTTTCCAGTACCTATCCTGTCAGCCTTTCTGAAGGAAGGGAAGTCAGAATACCGAACTCTCCTCTTATTCTTTTGTAAGAAACAATGTGCTTTAGCATACTGTCATCTACATCCACTAACGGATCATCCCCATGCTGTCAAAAAAACTCTGTCAAAGCCACCAGCCAGATATATGCACTCTGAAATATGATCCATCCATAGGGAGTGATTGAGGAAGAAAAAGGAAGGAGGGAGAGAGAAGCTGTTATCATCAACGAAGGTGACGTAAGCTTCTATAATTAGAATCAGTGACTGAAGGAACAATAAAAGGCACCACCATGCTTCTACTTTCCCCTCCACTGGGCAGTTGTATCAAGCATTTTTTTATATACACAAAAGGAATATACTTGCCTATTTAAGAGTCAGTCAAGTATTTAACATACTATGTGTACAGTTGTTTCATAGCAGTATATTAATTTTCTTCAAAAATAAAATCTGCCCAATAATTTAAAAAGTCATCTATAAACACAAGAAAATAAAATCTCATTTTAAAATTTAACTATGAAGAATACTGTCTCTATCTGTAAATCCTACATTATATTGGAGATTACCTTTGTATCACTTCTTTAATTTTCTAGTGCCTTTTATAAAAGGCAAATACAGAACATAATTCTGAACATCTATTCAGTGATTGAGCACGTGACAAATCAAAATAAAAGGCAGGATCAATCGGCATTAATTTGTTTGTGTATCTGAGTACCTGTTATACTCTTCTAATTGGAGCACTATCCCCAATCACTTCAGTCATGAAAAGCACTTTCTTCAGCAACAGTGTGTGAAGTGTATCAAGTGATTCTGGTTTCCTAGACAATCCATCTGTACGAGTGTTTTCTTAAGGAAAGAATGACTACCCCAATCCACAGCACTGCCCTGGTCTCCGCGCACAGCACTTCTCAAGTTCATACACAGTGAATGACAATTTTTTAAAAAATGACTATTGAGCAGTTGGGCAGTATTTATGTAGAAACTTAACATAAACATATACATTTTTTTTAGGTGTACTTGGATTTGAACTCAGGGCCACACAGGTTTAAACATGTAAAAATGTCACCAAAGAGTTATCATCAAACAAAATACCAATGAGAATACCAACTGTATTTTCTTGTCCACTGAGGAAACCAGAATATCAAAAGAAAGACAACTTTCCTCAGCATACAAGAGGCTAAAAGTAGATGACTCATAAACATAAACATAGATAACAAGAGAAAATATGACATTTGTGGACTCTACACAACAGGACACCAAAAAATCTGGGAAAAAGAATACATTAAAGATGAGGCTAAATAATCAAACACAACCACAAACTATGTACCCTTTAACTCATTCAAGGAGAGCCAAAGAATGTAATCAAAAATACTTTAGCAATTCTATTTCTTGCAATTTTTAAAAATAAATTAAGAGGTGGGCATTCATACCCACAGATACTTCTTACCAACTAAATTAAAAAAATAATAATGAAAAATGGGCAACAATTTTACTAATCAAACACTGGAAACTAAATAAATAATAGCATCTTATAATGGAATACTATGTCCTAATGGAGTACTGGGCCAGTCAGAGTGCTTGCAGGGGGGCAGATTGCTTCAGTCCAGTAGCTCAAGACCAGTCTGGGCAACACAGTGAGACCCTGTCTAAAAATCAAAAGAAAACAAACAAAAAGGGTATTTTGTCAAAAAACAAAAACAAACAAAAAAGCCCTAACATTCAAAGATGTTTAGATAAAATTTTAGAAAAGATACAGACATCCAGGCGCAGGAGGCATATAGGACTCCAAACAGACATGACCAGAAAAGGTCTTCACTGAGGCATGTTGTAGTCAGGCTATCAAAAGCCTAAGAAGAAGATAATTCTAAGAATTGCAATAGGATAGGGCACAAGTCACACTTAAGGTCACCCTCATTGGACTAACAGCAAGTTTTTCAACAGAAATGTTTCAGGTTAGGATGGAATGGCAGGGCATATTTCAAGTACTGAAAGAAAATAAATGCCAACTAAGAATACTACACCTGGCATAGTTATTTTTCAAAAATGAAGGAGAAAGACCTTCCAAGACAAGCAAAAACTGAAGGAATTCATCATGAGATTCATTTTATAAAAGATGTCTAAGGGAGTCCTCCAAAAATGAAAGACAATCACCATCATGAAAACATATAATAAAACCCACTAGAAGAACAGATACACAAAAAAGAAATAGAAAAGAATCAAACCTTATCAATATGGTAAATCACCAAACCACAAAGATGAACAAAGAGTGTGAGGGGGTGCAGGGAAGGGGGAGGACAAAGATAAAGGAACTAGAAGGGCTGGGGATTCAGCCCAGGAGTAGACCACTTGCCTAGCATGAGTGAGGCCTTAGGTAATCCCCAGCAACCACACACACACACACACACACACACACACACACACACACACACACACACACACATACATGAAAATTAATGAAATAATAGGAGCTAAATCTTTATCAATAATAACCTTAATTATAAATGAACTAAATTTTCCAATAAAAAGACAACCTGGCTGAATGGATAAGAAAAATAAAACCTACAGTAAGCTGCCTACAAGAAACATCAACAGAAACATACAGAATGAAAGAGAAAGGATGGAAAAAGATAGTCCATGCAAATGGAAACCAAAACAAGCAGAAGGAGCTACACTTATATGTGAAAAAATAGTCTTTAGGACAAAAACTGTAAGAAGAGACATAAGTCACTATACAACAGTCAAGGGCTCAATTCTATGGGAAGATATAATGATCATAAATATATATATATTTAT